CTGTGCCTTGGTTCAGCTGGTGTCTCTTGGGTGGTTTTTTTACAGTCAGAATGTGTTGCTCCATATTTATTGACGTGTTTCTTTTTTTTTTTTTCTTTCCCTCGCCACAGCGTCCATCTGTACTATTTGTTCCCTAGTCTGGAGGAAGGAGGATTAGCAACCTATCGGACCGCCATCGTTCAGAACCAACACCTTGCCATGCTAGCAAAGGTAGAGCAAACAGTGGAAGCATTTGTAATGAAGCCTGACATTTCCCTCTTCTGTCCATGCATAATTTTGCATCTGAATAAGCCACTCTTTAGGGCATTTTTAAGGGTGTAATACCAAGAGAGTGATTTTGTTTGGGTCTTAACGATGCAGACTTCTTATTCCGATCCCTCAGTGAGGCTTCCTGATAATAGTGAGGAAAAACAATTGACAGATGTACCCGAGCCGAGTGGAACATTTGGGGGATTGAACATGGAACAGAGCAAAAAAGAGGAGCTATTCTGTGATTTCCCTCTGTGTAATATTCCTGTACTGCTTTTGTTTTGTAATTTCATTTTAACAAGCAGAATCACAACTTTTAACAGAACACTCCAGACCATTAACATCTAAAAGGGATACTCTTGCAGATTTTTTAAAAACTCCCAAAGCACAGATCTGTTAATTAGGATTTAAGATAGAGGCTGTCCAGCCAGCCTCATGGGCTCAGCTGGGGCTCCACTGAGCCCTTGCTCCGTTCAGATTCTTGTGCAAGTCTCACTGGACTTTTCTGCCTTGGTGGTCCTCTCAGTCCACAGAGTCTTCTCACAGTGAATCAGAAAAGCTGAGGGGCATGGAAGCTTGCATGCCCACCTGCCCACCCTGCACCTCTGAGTGATCGTGTATAAGTGGTGTTCTTCAAGTTTAAGTTTCCTCACATGTAAGTGCATTCCATTAGCACCTACCACATAGGATACTGGTGAAGGTCAAAATGAGATTGTCATAAGTGTTTTAAGGATTTCAGTTTGCCTGGCACAGTGCCTGTTCATACTAATCCCACAAGATGTTCATGAACCAATAGGAGCTTGGTATTTCTGTGGCTGCCACCAGTGTCATTATAGATCTCATTATAAATACGTCTTCTAGACCTTTGGTCTACTCAGTCCTGGGCACAGTGGAGACTCTAAAATCCCTTATCACCAAAGAGCTGCTGGGAGGCTTTTGTCAGTTTTCCTTTATTTTTGCCTTAAGTAATCTTTCTTTTTTTCCCTTCATTTAGCAGTAAAAATTGGAATTTGACAAAAAGTAGATTAAAAAAACACATCCCAGTTTTATTCCTAGATCTTTAATTTGATCTTGCCAAGGCATTAATTATATTCAAAGTAGGGTTAATTTTAGTCTGTGATTTTTTTTTTTATGTGTGTTAGAAAGAATACATTGCTTCATTTTATGTAATATCTTCACAGTTACAGTGGTGGTTTTGAAGAAGCATTCGAGAATATAAATAGTGATGCTTAATGACATTTTTTAGGCAGGACATGTGCTCACAAAGAATGAGCTAACTGAAATTCTATATTTTACACACTAGTTTTTAATTGTTAACATGCTTAATGTTTCACATCAGTTTCCTCTGGAAAACACATGTTAGTAGATAATCCCTCTTCTAATAGATTATCCCTCTTCTCTTTATCCCCCTCATCTGTTTTAAATGTTATGGAACTGGATTATAAAGTATGGAGTGTGCCATTGAGTGAAAACAGAAGCTATTAAATGGCACATGGGATGCTCTGGCTGGTCAAGAGTATGACCATGTTGTCTATTTTCTCATTTAGAGATTTCTGTAGGATCTTCCTCAGCCCTGTGTTTTAGCCTTCCCGCAGACATTGTCCACTCAAAACCCATCCTCCGTTCCAGCCGCGAGGCGAGTCTCTCCTCTCTCTAGACTAGTTGGTCCCTAACTGTTTGTCAGTTGGAAAAACTGACAGGGAATTGCTAACTAAGTCCTTTCAGAATCTAGTGAAAGTGCAACATCACCTCCACAAACAAGCATTTCATCACACAGGTGACGGAATGCCACACTCTCCTTTTTAAAACTTTCACTGATCCCTTTGTGGAAAAATGCAGACCAGAGACTATAAGAAGTGGGGAAATTCATGACATTCCAGAAATGTTTTTGTTGGTAGATGTCGGTAAGTCTTGTATAACTACCCTGTGAATCTGAACCCTGTCCTATCTTGTACCACCTTCATCTCTGACACTTAAGCCCACTGTGCAGTCACTGTTAGTCCATCTCATTGAGGGGCTTTTTCTCTCTTGCTGTCCCTCCACCTTTCCAAGCATGATGACCCTTTCTAAGGAAAAGCCACTCCAGCAACATGCCGCAGAGTGTATGTTACAGGATAGTTATTTATAATACAAAACATGACTTGATATCTCCTCTACAATAGGGCTCTGGAGACTGCAAACAGTTGCATTTTCTCTGTGAAAATGTGCAACCAGAAATTTATATATTCCAGTACAAACTCTTAAACTTTGGAATTGACTTTTAAAAAGGGATATTTTCTGTGATTGTATTTGTGGTAGTCAAAACTTCTATGTGAGAAATTATATCCTGTGAATTCCTAGCAATGTAAAATGTAGGTTGCATATATCCCTCGTTTTTATTGTCTCTGGCTTTTTCTAATATAAATAGGAACAAATATTTAATATATACACCAAGCTACCCAAAATATTGTGTCTAATCTGATGGTTGATGATGCTGAGATTGTCTAGATTATTCATTGGCTTGTGATTTGTTCCACATTACACAGCCTAGCATTGCTTGGTAAGTATTTATTGAATTGAAATGAAAACAGATTTAAGCATGCCAAAAACAAGTTTCAGTGCTTAAGGCTTTCTCCTTTTGTGGAAAGAATTATTTATTATTATTCAATCTCTAAAATATTATAGGAAAAAAGTATAAAAGCATTCGAGTTGATTTGTATGTTATAATACAATAGGATATTTAAGTAGCTATAGAAATGAAAGGGAAAATATAGTTAAGAGATGTCAGTGAAGCCACAGATAAAGTTAATGCACACAGATATACTCAGAAACCCTTCAAAATTCCTGTAACTGGGCCCCAAACCCAGCACCATGCTTGAGACCAAAAGAGAATATGAAACTCAATTCATTTCAAATAAGAATCCTTAAAATAAGGGCCACTCATTGCTTAGAAAGACTAACTGAATCTTTGGAGATGAATGTGGAATCCTTTCAAAAGGGACACAGGCACCCTCTGTTTTAAACAGAAGTTTAGTAGTGGTACACAATTTGAAGTTTTCTGAGAGTCCCCCTTAACTATGAATGAATGATGATCTTTTTGCCATTAATTTGAAACAAACTCATGAGTGTCTCTCCAGCAGGTTTTCCAAAGCTGTAAGTCATGTGGGAGGAGTTTGTCCATCTTTCTCCAGCAGAGCAGCTGGTGGATTTGAACTTCTTGCCACTGGATTAGAAGTGCAAGTCCTTACCTACTAGGCCACCTGAGTTCCTGCCCCCTTGACTATGCTTTCTGAAAATCTTGTGATACATACGGACATCAGTACTGCATAACTCTGTAAACATATTTTGTGATTTGCTTACTTTTTGATATTTTGAATTTTGTAGAAACTGGAACTGGACCGATTTATGCTTTACGCTCATGGACCTGACCTTTGTAGAGAATCAGACCTTCGGCATGCGATGGCTAATTGTTTTGAAGCATTGATAGGTAATGTCTCTTCATAACCCAACCTCTTTATGTTTGAGACACCTGGGGAGAGGACTCACTCTTGTTTACCCACTTGGCATCTGAAATAGTGTCTGATGTTGCAGAGATGCTTGGCATGTGTTTACTGTGTTGAGAGGGAGGGTGAGTACGTTCCAGATTTGCTTGAGGATCTTGAACATAAATGAACAGAAATGAAGATGCTGGTAGCATTATAAGACAAACAAAAAACCCCAACTCTGAACTACACTCTGGAGCCAGTCTGTCAAAATGTCAGTGTGAAGTGTCTGCTCATGGCCTGTGTCCATTTTTACTTGGGTTATTTACCTTTATCTTGTTGTGGGGCTCGAGTATTTTATAAATTCTAGATATAAGTCCTTTATCTGACATGTCATTACCAAATATTTTTTCCCAATCTGTGGCTTCCCTTTTCACTCTGTTGGAGAAGTTTTTAGATGTGCATAGGGATTTGATTCTTAGAAAGTCCCATTCATCTATTTTATCCTCTCCTGGTTGTAGATTTTTCAGGATGCTTGGAAGACTGTTTATGTTGTGGATTAGGACTACTAGAGTTCTTCCAAGCTTTTCTTTAATGAAATGTATAGTCCTTGGTTTTAGTCCTACGTCTACATTGCATTGAAAAACAAGGAACTCATACAATATTATTCAAAATGGGTGACCTTGGAGGACATTATGCTGAGTGAAATAGCAAAGTCACACAAGGACAGGTGCTGCATGGTGCCACTGTTGTAGAATGGGGACTGACATCAGGGTTGGAGTGAGACTGAGAAAAATTGGATAAATTAGGTATACTGTATTGAAACAGATGAGGGAGAGAACTGTTTGAAAGCGATGTATGGTTGGGTATTATGGTTGACAAGAGTCCAGAATGAAGGTTGCATAGTAGAGTGTACTCGGGGCAGGGGGGTGGGAGTATTCTATACCAATGAAATAATTTTTCTTTTACTTTTCAAAGAGAAGAGCGAGCTGGGGGGAGAGGTGGGCAGGGAGAAAAATGCAACAAAGAATGTATGGAAATCTAAAATCTCTGTAAACATTCATTAAAATTTTAAAAAAAATGTCAGTGTGTGCACTTGTGCAGTGGGGTTTTTTTTTGTTGTTGTTAACTCTTCCAAAAAATTTCTGATTTAAACATGATAGAAAGAATATCTTTTTAAAATCTCAGGACTTCTACTTTATTGACTATGCAAAGACATTTGATTGTGTGGATCATAATAAGTTGTGGCTGACACTGAGAAGAATGGGGGTCTTAGACAACTTAATTGTGCTCATGTGAAACCTATGCTTGGACCAGGAGGCAGACAGAGCAGGGGACACTGGATTTTTTAAAATTGAGAAGGAAATGTGTCAGGGTTGTATTCTCCCTCCATACCTATTTAATATGTGTGCTGAACGAATTATGGGAGAAGCTGGAATCTATGAAGAGGAGTGTGGTATCAGGATTGGAGGGAGACTCATCAGTAGCCTGCATTATGTGGATGACACAACCTTGCTTGCCGAAAGTAAGAAGGACTTGAAGCATTTGTTGCAGAAGGTCAAGAAATACAGTCTTTGGTATGGATTGCATCTCAGCGTAAAGAAAACAAAGATTTTTACCCCTGGACCAATAGGCAGCGTCATGATGGATGGAGAGGAGATTGAAACTGCCCATAACTTCATCTTGCTTGGATTTACAATGAACACCCTTTGGTACGAACAGTCATGAAATAAGGATATACATTGCAATGGGAAAACCTGCAGTTAGGGACCTTTCCAAATTATTGAGGAGTAATGATGTCACTTTGAGGACTAAGGTGCATCTAACTCAGGCCATGGCCTTTCCAATCACTTGTTAAGAATTTGAGAGCTTTGAATTTGAATAAGGATGACAGAAGAAGAATTGATGCCTTTGAGCTGGGTGTTTGGAGAAGAGCACTGAACATCCATGGATGGCCAAAAGAATAAACAAGTATGTCTTGGAGAGGGTGCAGCCAGAGTGCTCTTTGGAGGCAAGAATGATGAGAATCCACCTCACATACTTTGGGCATGTTGTTAGGAGGGACTATTCCTTGGAGAGGGACATGGTGCTGGAATGGGAGGAGGGTTGGCAAAGGTGAGGAAGACCATCCACCCAGTGGATTGACACAGTGACTGCCGCAATGGGCTCTTGTGTGAAAATGGCACAGAATAGGACAGAGTTCAGGTCTTTTGTTCATAGGGTTGCTGTGAGTCATACTCGACTCGATGGCACCTAACAACACCTATTCACTTAACCCAAAACTGATAAAGACACCTTACTTCTCTATCTCTTCTTTCAACGTAACCAGAATATAGCTAACTATTACTACAAAAAAGTATGAGGAATTAATTAGCGGTGAATTCAGGTATGTTTTACAAATATATTTATGGTATATTGACAGTTTCTTGATTTTTTTTTCTCCCTTAATGTATGTGATTAAGTACATTTTATTTTTTAAAAGTAAAGACTTTGTGCCTTTTCCTTTGAAAATGAAAATAAAGGCTTGTCTCTTTTTTACTAATGGTGGTAACGAGAGATGTTTAATAATTGTCCACTTCCTTTTCACAGTAATGTCTGTTTCTCACCAATCTGTCTATTTTTGAGAGTTTGTCATATGGAATTACTATGATCTGTACACATGATATTTTGACAGGTAGTGTTATAGCAGACATGAATCACTGTACCCTTGGCACATTATTTCATCTCTTTGAGCCTCAGCTTCCCTATCTATAATATCAAGTTAGTGTCCTCTGCCTCACAGAGCTAGAAGGATTTTAATATTCCGTTCTAGCAACATTTAGTCCAGAGTGAAGTTCTACTCCCCTGAAACCCTTCTCCAGATCACCTAACTCAGCTGAACTCATTGCCCTCGAGTCAGAACTGACTCAAAGGTGACCCTCCAGCAGGTCTTCAGAAGCTGTAAAAGGGAGGAGACTGACTATCTTTGTCCTGTGGAAAAGACAGGCCAAATCCTTTAAGTCTGGCATGTCCTTCCTGTGGTACCCTAGGAAGGTGAAGAAGAGACCTTGAGTGTATGCTTTGCATGAGGCTTACCTAACCCCTAAACCACTTCTTCTTTCTATTATTATTGAGAACTCCTGTGCTGCAATCCGAAAGGTACATGGTTCGTATCCACCATTCTCCTCCCATGTGATTTATTACCCTTAAAAACCCATTAGAGGGCCAGCCATAGATCGGCTCTGACTTAATGGCTCACGACAATAACAACTATGACTATTAGTTGTGTTTGGTCACCAGAAGTCTTGGTAAGTTAAATATCAAAGTTTTGCATGGAAAATAGCCTTTCTAAAGACAAGTGTAAAAGATTTCAAGAAAATATAATTGGCTTAGGCATTTCCTTCTGTTAAATCCATAAGTCAGAGTCAGTGCAACTCCGGAGTTATTTGAACCTTGATATCAAGTTAAAATGTTACATAGTTTTGGTTCTGACTAATACTAAATGTGTTCACAGAGATGAAAGGTAAAGGCCGCCATTGTTTTTATGAACAGAAACCTTCATTAATCTAAACTCGGATTTTATCTTTCAGATTCTGTTGTTTAGATGCCTGTATGTGTTTGGTCTAAAACAAAGAAAATAAAACAGCATTTTTCCCTCTAATCACCTGTTAGTGCATGGTTCCCTTAAACAGGGTTCATGCTTCATCTCCTTCCTGGTTAACCTCTTTATAATGTTAGATGTATCTTTCAGTAAATTGATTGTGGATTTCAGTCGAATATATAATGTAAAGCAAACTGAAAGAAAACATTACCTTTGAAACAATTGCTTCTGATCTTGCCTGTCCCCCCCTCCCCGTGTGTGGTTTTGGGCTTGTTTCTTTGCTTTTTATAGTGTGGTGTCATTTTCTCTGAATATTAACGCCGCCTGCCCTGGTGTGCTCTGCCTTCCCGTAGGAGCGGTTTACTTGGAGGGAAGCCTGGAAGAAGCGAAGCAGCTATTTGGGCGCTTACTCTTTAATGATCCGGTATTTGTCTTGAATCATTTGATTTTTCTCAGCTATGTATCATTGCAGAAGATATTTCAACTTGTCTTTCTGTTTTGAAGACAATGGGTAAGAAACCAAATGCCCATTGCAGGTAGATTTCAAGTAC